TTCGCTTGTAGCCTGTGCAAAACAACGTGTCAATTAGGCCCCTCATCATCATCATCATCATCATATAATAATAATAATAATGTTGTCAATAATAACAAAAGAACGTGTTAATTAGGCCCTTAATAATCATAATAATAACAACAGTAACAAAAGAACATGTCAATTAGGCCCCTCATAATAATAATAGTGTCAATAATAACAAAAGAACATGTCAATTAGGCCCCTCATAATGATGATAATAATAATAATAATAACAAAAGAACATGTCAATTAGGGCCTTCATAATAATAATAATAATAATAATAATAAAAGAACATGTCAATTAGGGCCTTCATAATAATAATAATAATAGAATCAATCATAACAAAAGAACATGTCAATTAGTCCCCTTATAATAACAATAATAATAATAACAAAAGAACATGTCAATTAGGTCCTTCATAATAATAATAATATCAGTAGTATCAATAAGAAAAACAGCAAAACAAGAACAATTGTTGTTGTTGTTGTTGTTTTGCTGCTGTTATTGTCACTGGTGAGAGAGGCATCATTGCCGGTCTGGGAAGGAGCACAAGGTAAAGTTCTTGAAGTGCCACGCATGCAATATGCCTCGGGAAAGGGAGCTTTACACCATATCATAGCAAACAATATATTTTAAACAAACAAACAAACCCCAAAGAGCAAAGCAGGCAGGTTGGGAAGACTGGAATGAATGGGAATAATCATGAGTGAGAAATTTGTGGTGTTTTGCTGAAGCAAGGGGAGCCACATCCTGCTGGGGAAAAACGACCTTAAAACCGTTTTTCCCAATGAAAGAAGCCCTGCAAATGCATTTAAATTTTGGAAGGTGCCCCAAGTATTTTACTGTGTGCAATAGGTAAGTAACTTTAAGGCAGGGAGTTCAAATCCAGGTGTGGGCAAGTGGTCTTTAGTCTCAGTTTGTGGCCCCGGTTGGGTTTTTGACAGAACAAGGAGCAATGGGCCTAAGTTGCCTCAAGGAAAGTTGAGGCTGGATATTAGGAAAAACTCTCTCACTAGGAGGGTAGTAAAATATTAGAAAAGGGTCCCGAGAGAGGTGGTGGACTCTCCATCCTTGGAGGTTTTGAAGCCCCGGGTTCATAGATTCATAGATGTTAGGGTCGGAAGGGACCTCAATAGATCATCGAGTCCGACCCCCTGCGTAGGCAGGAAAGAGGGCTGGGTTCAGGTGACCCCAGCCAGATGCCTATCTAACCTCCTCTTGAAGACCCCCAGGGTAGGGGAGAGCACCACCTCCCTAAGACAAAGCCTTGCCTGGGACGATGTAGTTGGGGCTGGTCGTGCTTGGAGCAGGGCTTGGACTGGATGTGAGCTCTGAGGGTCCCTTCCCGCATTGTCTGAGAGTCTATAACTGCTGTGCAGGTGTAGGGAAGGGGAGGAATAAAACCAGAGAAGTCTGCCTGCCAAATCTAGGGTGTGACACTCCCACGTTTCATTTGTATTGATTGTTCTGCGTTTTTCCCATGCGTCTCTCCCTAGTGACGAATGGCTCCTGTTTGCCTGCGTTAGTGACACTTTTAACATCTCACCTGTCATTTTCCTTTCAGATACCCCCCCATATCAATCGTCCTTATCTGCCAGCTTCAGCCAGGAGATTCTCCAGGAGGGCTGTTGACTTTGTGACAACGCATTTTAAATCAATGACATGTTGAGAAAGAACATGTTGTTTTAGACGGCCTCAAGTCGCAGACCGAACCCCGTTATCGCCCTGACGTGTTTGCGGCCTGCCATCCCCGTTGGGCTTCACGAGGTGGGCTGCGACGCCTCCCAAGCGAAGCTGAACCCAGCACAAATCTTCGCGGGGGGGAAGGCCCGGCGGCCCCTGGGGGGAAAACGAGCGCTGCAAGGAGCGCGTGGCTGCTGGGGTCGGTTTGCTGCGCCGCGCCCCGCCCGCTCGCTCGCACCACGGGGCTTCCTGCACGTGCGGGGCGGGAGCCCGGAACCTTTGTGCCGCGGGCCCCGTTTCCGGCCGGAGCGGGCGGTCCCTTCCGGGCCCGGCGCGATGGCGCTG